CAAGGTGGAAGGCACCTCAGGAATAATATTTCCAAGTGGATCTGCCCTCCATGTGGACATATACACATGTGCACCTGCATATAGACATGTATACACACATGTGTACATACACACACACACACACACACACACACACACACACACACACACCAATCTCCAGTGGACAATTTTGAAGGTTGAAGCCTGCACAATCTCAACAACCAAGAGTCCAAGAGCCCTTGTGGACAGAACAGAGATGGCACTGTGAGAGGTGGCATCAGAAACAGGACACACAACAAACTGAAAACTTAAAAGCTACATTTCAATAGTCCTACAATGCTGATTCTAGCTCTCATATTTTTTCGATACATTAACATCTTTGCCGTGAAGTTTTACTGTGGACATGGAGCAAGACCAAGATGGGGAGGTAACTGTGTATGTGCTGAAGCTCTCTGAAGAGGACACATCTGTAATAAAGAAGCCGCAGATGGCTCAATCCAAGCCAGGAGATATCCTGACCCTGTGACTGTCCTGGATAGAATGAAGCTACTCTAGAGACATCTGTGTTCTCCCCCCTCCCCCATGACCCAGCTATCAGACTATTGAAAGAGCAGACCCTGAGAAAGTAGAATTTCCAAATAATCTCATGCTCCTGAAGGAAAAGGCTGACGCCTGGTGCCAGCCAGAGGAAGAGCTTGTCTCCCAGGAAGAGACATTACACAGTTCTGACAATCTGTCAGACCACCATGCAGGGCAGACTGGAGCTGAAACAATAACATGTTAGTGATGGGCAGGCCCACACCTTGACCAGGACTGCTTAGCTATGCACACCTCTTGCCCTCTATTCAACCTAAACCTCCTGTCAGGACTCTGAAGAATAGAAGTTGGGGGAGGGGGGGGGTCACTGGACATCTGGGTTCCTCTTGTCAGTGTGGCCATACTGAATAAATCTTCTTTCTTGGCTTTTCACTGTCTCTTGTCCCTCTAAGTGGTCTATTGAGGAGAGCAGCTGAGCAGAGGCGGTTAGGGCTGCCATGGCCCAGTGCTAACCCTAACACCCCTCAATGTGGAATGCTTGCAGGTCCAGAGCCACAATTATCTTAGGCCACTTCTGTGACAGACTCAGCTTTTGGTACTGCACCTTGAAATTTAGCAGGCTTCCTGCTATTAAACCCTGAGGCTAAAAGTGCTGAGAGATAACACAGGCAACCTAGAGACCATAGGCTGGCTGTAACTGGCTGTAACCACCCACCACCCACCTGACACTCCCACCAGCAGAATGGAAAATACATTGATTTACAGGAACAGAATAACAGGAGGCCATAAAATGCAATTCATCTCTTTCATGGTGGAAGATGTCATTCAGGGTCATTTGTGTTGCCTGCCCATGGTCAACCTGGCTCAGATTTAATTCTTACTGTAGTCTCTTTAAAACAGAGTGATTATGTTACATGGACATAAGAGATCATAATAAGCATGTTACCAACAATTGAGCCAATTTTTTCAGAAAAAAAATAGTTAAATAGCTATGTCAGTGCAGCAAGTGTCCCATTAATAACTTCTGACAGGAAGCTTGAGACTGATTGTTGTATAGCTATTTCTCCAAGCTGGATGTGACCATCCAGTCTTGAAACCCAGCATCTGAGATCAGTCACAGGAGATACTCCCACAGTTCGCCTATTAAACACTGCTTCCTGGGGACAGGGAGGCTCCAGAGCCTTCACCAGGGCCTGCCCTGCCCAGAGGTTATTGACAGGGGTGTGACTCTTCAGTGCATTTTGATTATATGGAAAGTGAAGCACATAATGTCTGTTTAACATACACAAGGCAAGGCCCTGGGCTCAATTTCCAGCACCAAACAAACAAGCAAACAGTTAGGCAAACTGCCCAAGGTTAAATAAATTAACACAATCTGATGGCAAAGCAGGCTGCTGTCCAACTCTAACATTAGGTTCCTTTCACAAAACAGGCTCCCCCAAGCTCATTTTTGGGATGTGTGTGTATTGAAATAGCTCTCTCTCTTTCTCTCTCTCTCCAATGTCTCCACATGTAGTCCCAGCCTGGTTCTACATTCACAACCCTCCTGCCAAAGCCTCTTGAATGCTAGGATTACAGGTATGTGCCACCACCACTCAAAGTCCATGTACTAGCATGTTTGTTTACATATATCCACAGCCAAAATGGTTCAAGGTTGACAGCCTAGCACAAGACTCTAGTCCCTTCCACAACAACCCTTCTCTCACTCTGGGGCTTTGTTACCCTCCCTAGCAGAAGGAAGGACACGAAGTACAGAGAAAGACTCGTCACAGATGATGGCTGCTAACCCCACTGTGTTTAATATAAACAAAAATTTCATCAGCAGATTCATGCTACAGGTCTCACGCTGTGGCACATGCTTGGTTAGTCTCTCTGTTCACATCTCTTTAAACAGTCCTTCAAAGTGCGGGTTGGCTAGCCAGGTGTGTAGGGAACCAAATGTCCCAAGATCATCAAGAACCTGACCCATAGAAAGTAGGAGGCAGGAACGCCTGGGCTGGAATGACTCAAGCTGTGGTGGATTCTCCAACTGCTCTCAGACACATGGTTAATTAACACAGACAAGCCTCCACGGAACAAAAACAGTTATTTCACTAAGGAATCAAAGTCTGAACGCTCCTCATTGTTCCTCTGTGAATGCCTCCTTCATGAAACCTTCCACTGCCACTGCCGCAAAACAAACGCTCTGTATAAACAAACAAACCAAAGAAAGGAAACAGCTTATGAAATTACAATGTGTTCTGTGACAGAGCCCAGCCTTCATATTCATAAACTAAGAGCCAACTCAGCGGCTTTCCACTAAGTGGATATACAGAAATACATCTTTATAATGCAGGGCTGGAAACACCTTCCAAAGTGAAGCACACTGGAAGTCCCAGTACACACCAGGATGGCAAACTCCACATATTTGCAGGTATACATGTATACACATGTGTGTAGAGGACAGAGAGGGAGGGACACACGTACCACTGCAAACATTAGTTAGTTATTTCCTTCTACCATGTGGTTTCTGGGAAATGAACTCAGACTGCCAGGCCTGCAGGGCAAAGCGCCTTCACCCACTGAGCTTTGGGGGTCAGGTGGGTGGGTATCAACAGCTCTGGTGGCCTGCAACTCCAAGTAGATCAAGTTGGCCTTGAATTCACAGATATCCACCTGTCTCTGAGTTCTGAGGTCAAAGGTCTGCAGAACCACACCTAGGTAATTCTACTTTTTAAATGTGCCTGCATTGTAAATGTGATTAGATTTACGGGAAGTCTGTGGTCACCTTCACACAGTTCTCCACACAGGGACATTTTCTCTATTTCATGTCTCTGGGTTGTATGAAATATTATCTCTCTTTATATATGTAGTAATATAAACTATGATTTCTGACAAAACTACAGATGCCTAAAATCTCTAGCAGGCCTCAGAACTGCTCATGCTGAGCACATCCTAGGACTTGCCCAGGACCTTCCACCCCATGGTTACCTTCTAGCCTTGGTCTGGGAGTATACCCTGTAGGCTGGAGAACAAGCACAGCTGCCTCCCCCAGCTCTCCAAGGTAAGGAAACACCAGAGGGTCCTCAACTGTGTCCAGGTAGCTCCATGAGGCCCTCAGGCCACCACCTGGCTTTGATAGCACTGACTTGTCACCCAGCGGAAGAGAAGCTGCAGCACTGGAAGGTAAGGCCCTTTGCTTAAAGCAAACCCTGCTTATTTCCTGTGCTGAATGTTCCTCACCTCCCTACAGTTTCTAACCACCACCCCCATCAGAATTTACTCAGGCTCACATGCTTCCTTGAGCACAGGAAGTGGACTGAGTCTTCTGGTTCCCATCAGCAGGGAACACAGCTGTATTGGAGAAGCTACCCTGGCCCTTGACCTATAATTCCATATTCTCTCCACAAACATGAGCCTCATGCACTGGCCCAGTGCAGTGAGAAAGATGGAGTGATGTGGGCATCTCCTGTGGTGACATCCTGCCCTTGTACGTGTGCACACACACACACACACACACACACAGAGAGAGAGAGAGAGAGAGAGAGAGAGAGAGAGAGAGAGAGAGAGAGAGAGAGAGAGAGAGAAGCCAAAGGCTGCAGGTAACGGGATGAACAAGGGACATGGCAGTTCTAGGTAGCACCCAGCTAGAAGGGCATTCTGGGTCACATGATGAATGAATTGGGAGCTGATAACAGATGGAGCATAAATAAGCTGGTATTAAATAATTAAATAATCCAAGGTTAATAACTGAAACACTGTGACCCAAATGCACGGTTTTTTGTTTGTTTTATTCCTAGGAAATATACACTGAAGTTCTAGAGCCAGGGTATCTTAGAGATACAGATATGCACATAGGTGTGTGGTCTTACGAGGCAGGGCAGAGTAGGGTAGGAACTAGTTCTGACACAGGTTAGAGACCTAGTATGCCCTGACAGGCCCCTTCACAGATCTATCTCATTTCTTGCTGTTTCTAGATATTCACTGAGGAAGGGGGCAGCACAGCCTTGACTCAAGGCTGAAAAGGTGGGCCAGATGACCATGGGTTCCATCGGCCTCATCCATCCAACTCACAACAGCTCATCTCAGCATCCCACCACATCCTGTATCCTCCAGGACAGTCAGGCAGCCCTTTGCCCACAATATATTCATTTGAGTCCCTGTTACTTACGGGGCACTCTCTATGTAGATATGCACAAGTTGAATATAAAATGTATACCTTCATAAACACACAATGGAACATGTATAGAAACTCATCAGCTACTTGGTTGAAGCACCCCTGTTTCCCCCTTTTAGGCAACTCCAAAGTTCAAAGGAGCCTGTATAAGCCCTGTCAGCTGTGTTCACCACATCTGTTGGGAGCAAGAAAAATCACAACATTCAGTACACAGAAAAGAACACAACCTTTCCAAAGGAACACTATTGGGACACGGGAATCCAATTAAAACATCAAATAATAACTGTGGAGGATAACTGGGTCTGCATGGCAGCCAGTAGCAGCTTACCTAAAAGGACTGCAGCCTTGCTCCGGAGCAGAGCCTGCAGCTCACTCACACAGCCTGAAGCAAGAACCTGCAGGAGAAGGAAGAAATCTGGTCAGATTCTGAGGGAAATTTCAACAGTAGTTTTCAGTGTAGTTAGGATCCCAAGCTCCTTCCGGGGACCCTAGGAGGTCAGACCCAGGTTCATCAACGACACCAAAGCCATATCTTATCTTTTTCCTTCTCCTCCACTCACAGCCTGTAATGGCACTTGCTGCAGTTGAATAAAACATGCCAGTGTCAAAGGTTGACCAAAGAAGCAGGTAAAAGAACCCAGCTGTAGCTAGCTGCCTGTTCTGCATCCACACTTAGAGATCTGCAAACACAGTCTCTCTGTACACTGCTACTCTTGCTTTGCAGAAGTTATTGCTGAAAAATATTGTTTATAACAGAAGGCAAAGGGTTTGTTGCCAGTCTTTTATCACTCCCCTATTGTGTACTGTCATTTCAAGAAATACTTTTTTTTGTTGTTGGTTGGTTGATTTTTTTAGAGACAGGATTTCCCTGTATTGCTTTGGAGCCTGTCTTGGAACTAGCTCTGTAGACCAGGTCGGACTGGAACTCACACAGATTCACCTGCCTCTGCCTCCAGAGTGCAGGGATTAAAGGTGTGTACCACCAACGAATGTCCGGCTCAAGAAATACTTTTAAGGACTTATTTATATGTGTATGCATGTGTTGCCTAACATGTGTGTACACCACATGCATACAGTGACCCTGGAGGCCAGAAGAGGGTATCAGGTACCCTGGGACTGGAGGTTCAGAGTCAGAAGTACAGTCAGTGGATTCCTCAGCCTTGCCATGGGATCCAGGATTTGCACCCCAAAGAACTGAAAGCAGTGGTTCTCAACCTTCCTAATGCTGAGACCCTTTAATACAGCCCCTCATGTTTGGTGACACCCCCCCCACCATAAAATTATTTTGTTGCTACTGTGTAACTGTAATTTGGCTACTGTTATAAGTCTTAATGTAAATACTTGTATTTTCTGATGGTCTTTGGTGAAAGGGTTGTTTGACCCCCAAAGAGGTCTCAACCTACAGGTTGAGAACCACTGATTATGTGTCAACCCAGGTTGACAGCAGCTCTCTTTGCAACAAGTGAACAGTGGAACCAACCCAAGTGTCCACTGATGGTTGAATAAACAAAATGAGGACCATTCATACAAGGGAATTTAATCCATTCATACAATGGAATTGTATTCAGCCTTAAGGAGGAAGGAAATTCTGATATCTAATACATTATGGATGAACCTTGAGGACTGCTAAGTAAGATACATGGGTCACAAGGGGACAAAGGCTGAGGCAATTTCTCCTAAGTGGGGTTTCTGGAGTTGTGTAGACTCCAAGCAGAAGCAGAATCTGAGGGAAGGAGATGTGAGGAAGCTGCCTTATAGAATTCTAGTTTTATAGACAAACACAGACAGACACTGACACCAAGGCTGCATAAATGGGAATTTACTTGATAATAAGAACTGCTTTTTTTAAAACCACAATTTAAATGCCCCCAAAGCCAAAATATTTATCAAAAAATTCCTAACATTAAATAAATAGGTAATATCAAGTGTTCACAGACCCACATCACGGCAGGCACTGCGCAAGTGCCCATAGACCACCTCCTAGCTTCTACACTGTGTATGTGATGGTCTCTGCCACAGAGGACAGGCAAGAGGGATGCTATGTTTGACACACTCAGCAGTCACCAGGGAGACCTATCTGGGAGTCACTACTGCACTGTAAATGACAAGTGTCTCTTGTGACTTTCCAGAATTTAAAAGAGGGGCATTTCTGAAGCATCAATATTTCTCAAAGTTCAAGACTCTAATTTTCCTCTAAGAGTTCTGTTCTCAAATGCCCTCATGTGCATGCATTATGAAACCCTGACATAACATACCAAATTAAGTTTATAAAGTCTACTGCTTATAGTCAGTCTCATGCCTTCAATTTTGTGTTAATTACTTTTCTGTATATTATAGTGAGATGCCCTACACAATGAACATTCTGGAAATGCTCCTTTCCTTCCTCTGACTCAGCAAGCATCCCATGATAAGAAATGCCTACTCTTTCAGCTGGCTGCTTTTGTTTATGAGCAGGAAAGGAAGCCAAAGATTCTCCAAGTAGCAATGGGGGCTCTGGAGCCTGGTTGCACTTCCTCCTTCACAGGTGGCTTAATGAGGCATGGGCTGTCTGTCTAAGCTCTCCAGAGGTGGGGGGTGGGGGTGGTCTGAGAGGGTGAAACTGGGTTTTCAGCAAGGCAATCTTCTCTGGGCAACTGCCATGAACTGGGTGGGACATAACAGAGAGGGACAGGAAGGTCTGCATTCCTTTGTCTGTGCTGAGACACATCACAAGGTGCTCTGCACAGAAACCGATCCTGCAGACATGCCCCTCCCCCACACCTTGTTCCTACCAGCAGGGTTCCTGATGAAGTGAGGTTCTAAGAAAGTACTTATAGCACTGACCCACAAGTATTCCATCTAGCTCTTTCTCCAACTGGTAAGAAGACAACCCTGCTGGCATTCAAGTAAAGCCAGCATCCAAGGAAGGTTATGTTTTGCTTTCTTTTTTTGAGACAGGGTTTCACTGTGTAGCCCTGGCTGTCCTAGAACTCACTTTATAGACCAGGCTGGCCTTGAACTCACAGGGATACACCTGCCTCAACTTCTGCTTCCTGTGTGCTGGGATTAAAGGCATTTGCCGCCACCACCCAGCTTGTGGTGTTTTCTTTTGTTTTTGTTGTATTATAACATAAAATTCTTGGAGCTGGGGAGACAGCTCAGCTGGAGCTTGCTGTGTGAGCATGAGGATCTGAGTTCAATCCCTAGAACCCATGAAAAAAATCAGGTATGCTCCTGTCTGAACTGTTGAACCCCAGGCCAGTGAAGAGACCTTATTTCATAAAACAAGATGAATGGCACATACATCGGTACATAAAGACAGACAGACAGACAGACAGACAGACAGACACACACACACACACACACACACACACACCATTCAAAAAACAAAGAAATGAGAATTCCTTGTCAATGTACTGAGATTTCTGCAAGGCAAAATCAGTTATGCCAAGCCATGACTTGTCCCTCTGTTCATGGCCCAGAAGCTTTGGCAATCAACAAAAGCTTCATCTCTCTCCCCTCAGCATCCTATGCGATTGGGCATGGCCACCTCATATCCTTCATCAATCTGAGATATTCTGACATGAATAAATAGCAGCAGATACCAGCATTTGGGCCTAGTTCAGCTTGCCCAGAACAGCTGGACACCAGCCCTGCCCCCCCCCCCCGCCCCCAAAGCCCAATTTACACCTCTGAAGACAAGGTGAAAACAGGAACCGTTAGTGCTAGGTACAGATCACACTCACTAGGACTATGGGTCATAAGGGACTTCAGTGCACTGACATCACCCTTCCTGGAAATGTGCTTTGGACACTAATGCTTTGGACTATGGTATGTGTTCAATATGCTAACCACTCATCCAGGCTAGTAGACAGACAGACACACACACACACACACACACACACACACACACACACACACACACACACGTCTGTGCACTGAGGCAGGTCAGGATCCTGTGGAATTCCCAATGTGAAGAACATTGTAACTTGGATGGCTTAAGGACATGATTATGTAATTACTCTGGTTCTTTTCAAGTTACTCAGGAAAGGAAGAGAGACACTGGACACAGAGACCCTTTGAAGCTATTTAATATTCAACAAATATTTATGTAGCACATCTAGTACCCACATGCAGACCTACATGCTCTGTACACCAAGATGCAATTCTTGGCACCAGAATTCACTGCCTATTACAGGAAGCCAGGCTTCCCACAGAATGAATCCAAGTGTCCTCAAATGGCACCAGAAGAAATTTCTGGTGGGATCCTCCTCACTGAAAAGGAGGAAGTCGTATTTGACTTGGAAGAAGCACAGGGAAAAAGGAAAGGCTTTGGAGAGCAGGGGACACCAGAGGCCCACATCCCTTCATCCTAAGACCGTTAGGAAGGTATTCACCTAGTAGACTCTCAGTCAGACCTGCCACTCCCATCTCAACATTGCTAGGGCTAACATGGAAACCTGGGATTTGGACCACTGCTCATACCTCATATCCAGCATCCTTTCAGCCCTACGGCACCTCCCCTCACATGACATTTATCTCGGCCTTGTACTCCACTTCACTGGGCATGCTCTCAGCCCCAGATCACCTCACAGGGCACTCTCAGTTCCATGTAGCATCCTCCATGGCTTCAAAGGTCATCACTATCTTGTCTGACATCTCCAGGAGAGAATACAGGTGCCCTTATTCCCCATTGTACCCCAAGGACATTGAACTCTCTTCTGTAACACTGTGAGTTCTTGATATGCAGGAGCCTTAGGTGTAACAGGCAATCAACAAATCAACAAATAGTTGGTAAAAATAAATAAACATAAAATAAATAAACATAAACAGAGGAGCTTCTTACACTCAAAAAAAAAATTGACTGCTGCCACTGCAGTGAATTTATTATTTTTATCCTCTCCCCCTGAATTTATTGTATTAATTCTTCTTTGTGAATCTTGGGAGTTAATAATGAATTACTATCACTAGCATATGTGGTATAGGAAATTCTCTGCCTCTTTCAGCATTTACCCCAGACAGATTGAATAAGGAAAACCTCAGAACCAACAGACTCCTACTACATTAATGCTACAATGCTCTATCCCATAATGACTACAAAGCCAAATTTGTAGGCAAGGCAGCCAGCTCAGTCCTGGCAGCTTTCCTAGCCTCTGTTCACCCAGCTCTCTATTCTGCCACTCTGGTTCTCATGCCCAGACAGTGGCTCGTCACACTTGCTTTGGCACAAGGAAGAGTAAGAAGTCATCAAGGCACCTGCAGAAACATCCTCTCCTCCTCCTGATCTGTAAAACACTAAAACTCTTCAGTAATGGAATGCAGGCTCATTTACATGATGTTCTATGCTAGGAAGCACAGTGTACCACACACGCATCCCCACCCAGGCACAACAAAGGCCCCTGACCTGGCATGCATA